TTTTTGATAGTATTAAAATCATTCAGGTGTTGAACAACAAAAATACCATCCTTCATCTTCAAGTTGAATAACTTTTTCTTCAGATATACCTGTTATTCTCTGTTGGTTTTTCATACATACCTGATAAGACTGTCATGAAATTTGTCGTCATCTTCTCCTTGACGACTTTGTGTGCAACGGACCTCGATAGGGTCAATCGAATAATCCCCAGAACCTGTCGATCCAACAAATTCCATTCAGCCTCATACATTCTTTCAGGTATTTTTCCTAATAACGGAAGATGAAGTTTTTTCCCATAGAGGTAGTCCTCTATCTGCATTCTCCAGTAACCAAAATCTGTGCCATCAAATTTCGCGATCTCTGAAACCTTCACTTCATCTGCAACCATCATTTTTTCTTCAGATCCGAAACAAATCTCTGATATCATTTGTTGTGGTATCTATATATAAATAGAAGAACGATCTTCGACGATGAAGCAAAAAAATATAACGAGAAAATTCACACCAGAAAATAGTAACACAACGGAACACACAGATTTACGTGGTTCGGCAAATTGCATACGTCCACGGAGTTACAGAGGATTTTACTAGTTGAGGAATATACACCAGTCGATCGTCTCGACTTATAAGAGGGATCACTCACTTCGTTGCTCTCTCTTCTTCTCTCTTTACATCGAGATACACCAAAGAAGCTAAACTTACAAGAGAAATAATTCAATTTCTCTTATGCCAGAAACCACCAAGAAGAAGCCAAGGAAGAACAATTTTATTCTTTCTTCTTTTTTCTGCTGCAAGGAACTACTGCTTGCACTTCTCTTCCTCTATTCCGAGGAAGAACGAAGAAGAACACAAAAAGGGTCGTGCCGTGGAAACTGAAGGAGTCGTGTGATGCCTTTTATCGCGAACAGGAAGGGAGGCGCGACGATTCGCGAACATCAGCTGGAGTTGGCGGGAGCGGTTTGCAAACAGGAGAGGTGGGAGCGGTTCGCGAATAGAAGAGACGGGAGCAATCGTGTCCTTTCGCGATCGGGGTAGCGGGAGCAGGTGTGTTCAGACCGGGCTCCAAAACTCAACAAATACAACCTATTTGTGAACATTGAGCTTTTTTGAAATTCCTGTTGCATTATAGAAACATTTTTCTGTTTATAAAGTTGATATTGCAATATTTTCTTACTGAAAGTTTTTATCCCTTCCTTTTTTTTGTACTGGCATTTTTTGCAAGCTGAGCTTGACAAAGCAATCGTTTTTAGCATGACTGGTGGTCTATTAAATTTATATTGCTATCTTTTCAGGAGAACCAATGAATTAAAATCAGAAATTGAAATCTCTGCCGATGTCATTAAAAAATTTGAGCATTTCTGGTCAGATTTTAAGGACACTCCACTGAAAGGTATTAATTTTGTACATATCCTGCCTTTTAAGTTATGATGGTATAACTTAGTCTTATGTATTTGAGCATGTTTATTGCCATTGACTTTTATAGAAGATCCAAAACAGATGCATGCAGTCTCTCCATTACATCATCATTATGGCTAGTGCTGCAATTTTAAATTTAATAAATTAGGGCTTTATATATTTCCCAATGTCAGGAATTAAAAAAAGCACGCTTTCACGTGTGAAAATAAGCTTCTTCTAAAATGTGACATTTTAGGCAGGAATG